GTTCACAAAATACCTTCACCCAGAAAAAGGATGGCACATCTGGTTTGACTATTAAAGGAAACTTTGAAATCAAAACATATGTAGACTTTATTCCATTTCTACCATTTCCTGGGTGGCATTAGGCAAGTGAATTACTCTTATGAAATATTAGTTTAGATGTGTTGCATTCATTTATTCTTTGGAATATTTGTTTAATGATGCAAAGATGTGTTGCGTTCTTTTATGTTGTTTAACTCTGTGGAGCTGTGTTGCTTTACCTGCCTAAAACACCTGATTGTTCTAGTAAAGAGCTGATCAGCCAATAGCTAGGCAGGAGAAAGGATAGGCAGTGTTGGCATGCAGTGAGAATAGATAGGAGGAGAAATCTAGGCTAGAGGAGGGGAGGAGAGAGAAAAGGAGATGGAGAGGAGAACACCAGGGGTCAGACACCCACCCACACAGACAAAAAAGGGAATAAGGAGAAAATATATACAGAAATAGAGAAAGGTAAAAGTTCAGGGGCAAAAGGTAGGCAGGATAATTTAAGAAAAGCTGACTAGAAACCTAAGGCCAGGCATTCATAAGTGAAAATAAGTTTCAGTGTATTTGGGGGGGAGCTGGGTGGTGGGCTCCCAAAGAGTAAAGAGAAGAAAAAATACAAATTACTTCTACTAACCCAACCTTAAAATTTTTCTCACAGAGTGCTTGTGAGTATTTCATAAGGCGAGAAGAGTAAAAAAGACAGCAGAGAGGCCAAGACGCACCAGCATGTGACAACTTTGCATGTGGAGCCCACACTTTCACAGACCTACTGTACCTACCATGGGCTGGCTTCTCACAGTGCTACTCGCGGTTCTCAAAGTTACGCCCCTTCTCACCTCTGTGTAGACACTCATGTCTCCTTCCTCCTCAGAAGTCCCATTTCTTGGACCTGTTTTCTGTATCGCTTTCTTTCTGCTAAATTCTTCTCCCCATCCTTCCTAGTCGCAGGCTGTCTGTCTCCAGTGCCTTTTACTATTCTGTTCCTCCCTCTCAAGGGCTTAGGGCTCAAAGGACACGGAGTCAAAGGGGTGCTTGGTATGAACACTTTTCCTACTGACCCCCTGGGTAGAGCAGAACCCTGGGGTTATGAAGAAGCATCCCTTTCACTTGGACTCAAGTGGCTACTTTTTTCTGACACTCACCCAAAAGCAGAAAAACACCCTTCAGTAACCCCTAAAGAAAGCCCTCTCTGTGACCATCTCTCACAAACCATAGATGTACAGACTTCAGAACTATACTAGCCTAGTAGGCACTGGGGAGGACTGTGCTGTGAGTCACAGAGGGCAACTTGTGTGTGAAGCTCATAGGAGGCCACCAGACCAGCTCGCATGCACTTGTAAGCACAGGGCCTCTTTTGTGAGGTGGGGACTGACGTCATTCTCAGTACACAAAGGCTATTCCTCTTTAGTTCCAATGTGACAAGTGGCTAGTCTCTTTTTACAATTAAGTAATATAAGTTAGAAACAAAAAATATTTCAAGATTCTTAATATGGGGTGGCAAAATACGATTATCAGAAACAAAGCATCTCTGAATTCTGGATATGCTAGTGGCATGTCTCTAGTGGCATCCTAAGTTTCTTAGAGGAGAATCCTTCACTTTGAACCCGGGATCATAGCCTTGCATCCCTGATATGCAAATTTCCCCAGTAATTTAAAGAGAATGAAAAGATGTGGGATATCTGACTTTGAAATATTCTCTGTTCAAGCAACCTCTCTTAAGTTGAACTGGGTCTTCTAAAGGAGATACAATTTCCTCTGCATGGGATCCTTTCTAGTGACACTTAACCTTGGCTTGTTAACAAGGATTATAGCAACTTCTTCAAACAAGACTCTAATTCCAAGGCCCTTCCTAACTACAATAAGAATCTTCCTGCTTATTTAACGAAACATTTATTCAAATAAATTCAAATAACATTTACTGAACGTCTATTAGGTGCCAGGACTTGGGCTAGTCACAAGTGCAGAGGTGACTCCACTGTGGTTCTTGTAGGCAAGCAACATATACAATTATGCTATACTATAAGAAATATGAAAAGACTAATAAGGTGCTATGAGCCCAGAGGAAGACAGATTAATTTTCTCTAAATTGTAGCATGATGGAAAGATTCATGAGGAGGTTATATTTAGGCAGGGATTTTTCTTTTCCAACTTTCTTTCATTTGGGGGCATACTATTTTTCTTTTTTGTTTATACATTCTTTTTAAAAGCAGATCATATCATAGTGAACCGTAAAAGAGAATTTTGAAAAGCTATTTAATTCCTTTTGCAAATCATAATAAGTGGAATTCCTCTAGTGTTAAATTTAGATTATACTGTATTTTAATTCTTATACTTTAAAAGGCTTTTTGAAAGTTAATAATCAGTGAGATGCTGTCTTGGTGATCAAAAACACAGCTGAGTAAAATGTGGCACTGAAGCATAAATAGATAATTTTGCCAAATTCTAATATAAATTTGAGTCAAAAACTAAAAGCAAAGAAACCCATATATGTGATATAATATCATCAGCATGAAGATATGGATTCAAATCTTCTTTTTAACTGGCAAACTATAAATATACATATATATTATAGAATGACAATATCAAACTAACATACAGAGTGCCTTTACAGGTGTCTTAATCTGTGGTGGGGACACTTAGTATCTACTTTCTGAGCAGTTTTCAAGTGTATGTATGGTACAGCATTAATAGATACACTCACCATGGAATATAATAGAGTCATTGAGTTAGTTCTTACTACTATCTGAGAGTTTACTTTGAGCAATATCTCTCTAGTAACCCCAGCCTCTGGTAACCACCATTGCCTCTCTGTTTCTGTAATTTTTAAGAATGTGGATGAATCTGGAGGAAGAAAACCAGACACACAGAGTCAAAGACCGAACAATAGGCAAGGGCTTTCTGAGTATGCAGAGAAGGGATCAAAAGAGTATCCAGGCTGATGAAACAGCATGAGACAATGCTAACAGTTCAAGGTGGTAGGCATGTTGAAAAGGCTGCAGAGTCTAGTTGACTAAAGGGTTTGCTACATAAATAAATAAGAGGGTGGAAACACACTAGCTCAGTCTGTGAAGAATAGCATTAACTGAGAGACTGCTATAACTGCACGTTCTTACCCTACTTTTGTGAGTCTCCTAAGGTTGCTATTATAGAATGTGCTGTGGCTTGTGTGGCTTCAGGAACAAAAATTAACGTTCTGATAAAATGGAGCCTAGAAAGCCAAGGTCAAGGTGTCACTATGCTTACTTTTTCCTGAGGCCTCTTCATGGTTTATAAATAGTTCCTACCATGTATTCTAAAAGTCTGTCTCTATGTGTTCCAATCTCTTCACACAACACTGGAGCCATTGGATCATGGTCCACCCTAAAGACTAATGTCTCAGGGTCCACCATAACCATTAGTGTCTTAGGATCTACCATAACCATTAGTGTCTCAGGGTCCACCATAACCATTGGTGTCTTAGGGTCCACCATAACCATTAATGACTCAGGGTCCACCATAACCACTAATGACTCAGGGTCCACCATAACCATTAATGACTCAGGGTCCACCATAACCATTAATGACTCAGGGTCCATCATAACCATTAATGACTCAGGGTCCACCATAACCATTGGTGTCTCAGGGTCCACCATAACCATTAATGACTCAGGGTCCACCATAACCACTAATGACTCAGGGTCCACCATAACCATTAGTGTCTCAGGGTCCACCATAACCATTGGTGTCTCAGGGTCCACCATAACCATTAATGACTCAGGGTCCACCATAACCATTGGTGTCTCAGGGTCCACCATAACCATTAATGACTCAGGGTCCACCATAACCATTAATGACTCAGGGTCCACCATAACCATTAATGACTCAGGGTCCACCATAACCATTGGTGTCTCAGGGTCCACCATAACCATTGGTGACTCAGGGTCCACCATAACCACTAATGACTCAGGGTCCACCATAACCATTAATTTCTGTTTTGGATCAACTCTGCCTTTTTATATCCTCCTTCCCAAAAATGTTGCATTCAGAAGCATTAGGGAGCAGGAGCTTAATGTGTGAATTTGAAAGGGGACATAGTTTAGTCAATATCACTACCCAGGATGTAACAAATTCACTCAAGTGCTGAAGAGATGGCAGTCTATCTGATAATCTCCAGATGATTTTGACTGACTGAGATTTTGGTATCATTGCTATAAACAAAATAAACATAATGTATTTATAGACACAGTATGGTGTTTTGGATGAGAATGGCCCCCATAGACGCAGATAATTTCAATACTTGGTCCCCAGTTGGCTGACCTGCCTGAAGAGACTTTGGAGCTATGATCTTGCTGGAAGAAGTATGTCACTGGAATGTGTTTTGAGAATATAAATACCTAGGCCTTTTCAAGTTCACTCACTCTGTTTTCTGTTTGCAGTTTCAGATGAGAGCACTTAGCTCCTAGCTTCAAGCTTCACTCGCCATGACTGCCTGCTGTCATACAGCTCCATCATGATGGTGATGGTCTCTTATCCCTGACCTTAAACCCAAATAAACCCTCTTTCTATAAGTTGTCATGGTATCTTCTCACAGCAATAGAAAAGAACTACACACCTGTATTTCTAAAAGACTGTGTTTACAGCAATAAGGGCTTATAGACCAGTGAAACTGAAGAGAAAGGGGATACTTAGAGACTTTTGTGACACAAGTAAAAGATAACAAAGAATACACCAAGCAATCCATATAGCTGTTCCATGCTTCATCCAAGCAGGCAAATATTGTAATAGAAAAAAGATCTCTCAACTGGGATCTCCTTTCAGTTGACTATTGAACCTCTACCTCACAGAAATTTCCAGGACTCGCAGGAGGACCTCACTAAATCCCTTCCCAGGTCTCCTTTTTCCACTCAGACTTGATTTCATGAATAATACTTATCAGGAAAAAAGAAGAGCTAAATAAGGAAATTAAGGATGCAATAGTAGAAAATGAAAAGGGATACAACCTGAAGGGATGAAGTTTTAGGGGGAGCAGAAAGGATGTTGGTACAACTTCTGTCTTCTCATCTGGGGTAATGTCCTTATGTGAACTGAGGATACAGAAGAGGTAGCTGAGGCAAAAACAAAAACAAATAAACTATGTTAATAGAGCAGCCATTCTGGCCATAGATGGGACAGGAGAAATACTAAATTATAGAGGAAGTTCCTAGTATGAGTTCCTCTAGTACATGGGGAGGGAGTCAACCAACTCAATCCAAACACAGGCTGTGCTGTTGAGACATTGAATACAAGCCCATATTCCAAAGCTTGGGCTCAGTTGACCTGGATACTATGGTGAGAAGCAGGTTTCTCTTCTCATCTTCCTTTAACCTATCTAACCATTGATTAACTCACTAGTACAGAAGACACAAGAGAGTGTGGTGCAGGGGCTAGTAGGGCAAAGCTTATAGCCACATCGATGTAATCTGAATTCTGTCTGTCATTATGAGCAGTTACACTTTGAACACGTTATTTGAAAATTCTGTGCCTCAACTTACATACAAGACAAATTCTCATGAGACACTTACTCGGTGAATGAAGAGGCCTGGATTATGTGACAAAAGGAAAGATCAGATGGATTTGGGTCAAAAAATGTGGCAAACACTTGGCATATTCACTGGAGAATAGAGGGAATACTTGAGAATAACAGTAAATTATCTGGCCCTTGCCTTTTTACTTTCTAGACAGCTACAGCTTTAATGTGAGACAGAGAACTTCAGGGTCTGTGCAGGGCCTGAAATTTCTGACAGCATGGGATTATGGAGTCCCTGATAGAAGTTCAAGAATGGGAAAGGGCAGTGTCTCACAACGGTTTACCAATTTCAATTACTTTTTATTTATTCCTGAATTTTCTATACCTATCCAACTGTTGTGCAATAACCTTAAAAGTAACACTTTTACGAAATCTTACTTTGAGAACAGCTGTGGGATCATGGATTAGTTTATCTTCTAATGCTCAACTTAACAAATATGTATTTAATGCCTAAATTTATATACAACATAGAATCAATCTTCCTGAACATCATATGTTAGGAGCAATTAATTATTGTTGTTATAGTCAATTATTAAGGTTAAGGCTGTTCATTTGGGCTTTGACCTAAGTTCAATTGCACCTCACAAGGGTAGTGAGATATGCTACTCATGTCCACTTTATAGCTTACACAGAGCAAGAACGAAATCAAGGAATTAACACAAAATGGTTACCCCAATGCACAGCCTGAAGTAGATGCAACTTATAGATACTTTGCTGTTTTGACCCTTGTAGTCCCTAAGACTTTGAAATGGTAGTGAAAAATGACATGAGACATAACCAGTGCTTTCACCTTTGCAGCCTTCCTTCTGCCACAAGAGACAAACGTAAGTTGTCCTAGGAGATCCATGCCCCCTCTCACTGTCCAACACAATGCTATGTCCTCTGTAGCTGTTCAGTAGTGCTTTGTTTTTCTGTCCAAACAATTCTTAGTAAGCGAATATGCCATTCCTACTCATGGATAACTCATAGAAAAGTGTTCTGTTTTCTTTCAGACAGAAACTTACATATTTGGATCTTTCTGCTGGGATTCTTGGCAGGTATCAGCATGGTGTCTCAAGGAAGAACAAGTGTTACCCACTGACAGACCTAGGGGTCGTGGAGCTCAGTGCCCACCCCTTTCTTGCACATGCCTCTGCCTTGCTGTTACTGCTTATTTTAGTCTAGCATCCTAGTGCTAAATCATGTTTTATTCATGTCAAATGGTTAAGATCAATGAATCTTATACAGTCTACCTCAAGAGTCCTTACTACCACACACTGGCTAAACTACACGGAACGCAAATATAATTGGTTGCTGTCTTTAATTCTCCTTCACCCACAGTAAGTCTAAGGACTTGGCCATCTTTCTGGCTCCTTCTCTACTATGCTATCCTATTGTGCATTATTAAATGCCTGCCTCGGTTAGCTTTTTGTTATGGTGTCAAGACACCAAAATAAAACAGCTTAAGGGAGGAAATGTTTCTTTAGGCTCAGAGCTCCAGAGGTTTGGTCTGGCATGGTATGGAGGGCATGGAGAAGAAGAGCAACTCACATTGTGGCAGCCTGGAGAACAGGGAGGGAGGGAGAGGAGGAAGGAGGGAGAGAGGGAGAAAGGGAGTGGGAGAGGGAAGAAGTGGAGAGAGGGACAGACAAAGAGAATGAGAGAGAGAGAGACAGGCAGACTTACTTTCTGGCTTCCTTCACCTTTCCTTTTCATTTTTCTGGAAGCCCTGGCTATTGGACAGGTCTATTCGAATTCAGGAGTGGGAGATGCCCCATAAGTGAAGCCTCTTCGAAAATGGCCTTCCAGAGACAAATAAGAAGGGCCATGATCTCCAATCCTGTTCCCAACCAGGACTAACAATCACATTGTCATTTGCCATTTTATAAGAGGTGAGATGAAAGAGAGGACTCTAAGCAGGCAAAGCCGCTGGCAAGAGAAGCTGTGCTGTAAGTGTACATGGTGATTTTCTGCCTTTAGCCACTTGGGATTGCATTCATATATCATAGAACTTTGCAAACCGGTTTCTACCCTCACACTTTCTGCCTGACTTTTCAAGTATCTCTTATATGCTGCAACCACCAAGGCAGATCTCAGTAAGTACTGAATAACTTGAACCTAACTCAAGTTTCTTTTAAGGAACCTGTTTTCATTAGCCTTGTTTTGTTTCTCCAGAAAAACAGTAAATCCACCCTTCACATGGGAATTTTTAATGAAAGTGTGCAAACCCTTAGTCTTTTAGATAATAAAAAGGAGATGGAGAGTGGGGACAGGGCCGGTGGGAAGTCACACCTGCGGCTCCCTTGGGGCTCACATTTCCCCATGTGAGGCAGCAGATTTGGGAGATTCACCCCATGGTCTACAGGTGGCAAACCAATGTAAGTTGACACGAGCAGTGGAGTAAGAATGGAATGACTCTCTCATCCATTTGTGTCTGAACCAGCTCTGAGGTCCTCAGCCACAGAATTTATTGACAGTCACTTTCATCTTTTACTTCAAAATAGCCATTCTAGGAAGACTGGAAACATGAGGACAGAGGCCCCATGATTAAGCTTAGCTTAGCTCTCTTCTGCAAGGTGGGAATTCTGTTGGCTAAGTATGGTTATACATAAATTGTTTTCATTTCCATGCCTATAAAAGTTAACACAACAAGGGTATTCTCAACGTGAACCCACTGACTCTGTTGTCACAACTCATATCTAACCTGATTATGTGTCACCACTCATATACAATCTTATTATGTCCTCACCAATCAGCCCACAGGAGAAAGGAACCCATTTTCACAGAGATCCCTCCATCTCCAGGCCTCTGACAGGTCATACCATTGCCATGTTTAGTGTGCTTCGTGTACCTGTGAAGTGGGAATTGCCCCACTCCAATGACAGAAGATGTCTCTGGTCAAGGTAAGAGATGGTGCCTTACCTAGGATGACAAAAGTTCCCTGAACTCTTGAAGTTACTTCTCTAATATTCATGTGTTGATCCCAGTCTGTCCATGCAGATAGTGCAGCCGGATCAGTAGGGCCAGAGTTGACTTTCTCTCTAAACTCTGTCTATTTCTATGTGTCTATCCAATGTCTGGGTTATAGCCACCTTCTTTCCATATTAGAGAAAGGTGGGATCTAGAAACTCTGCTCTCAATCATTACAATTCATTACAATACTGTTTATTTAATATTTTATAAGTACATTTTTCTGCTCCCTAAACGTGAAGATTACAGATTTATAGGCTATTTTGCAAGAAATTAATTTTTAAAACACTTACCAATTATAAAATTAATGCCTTGCCAAGAGGCCTCATGGGTTAAATACATTCCAAGGAAAGAACTAAGTTCACCACCATATGGGATAAGAGTCACTTTGGGCAGCTTCTCTGCCTTCCTGGAAAGAAGCCAACTCCATTGTCTTCAGTGCCATGCAACCTGCAAGAACACTCCCTGCTGGAGTGAATGAGGACTGTGGGCTTCAGGGAGAAAGCATCATTACTTGTAAATTCGAGAAACCATCACCACCCAGCACAAGATGGGGAGAAGGAATCTGACTATTCAGTCTTCAGAAACTGGACTTAAAGTTCTGTATGAACTTAAAGCCTTGTATTTATTTATTCCAGTGATGTCCAAAGAAGCAACCACGACTTTTAAAATTTAGAGTACAAGAAAACTCTTGATAATTGACTATTACTGTGTGACGCTCAATGCTAGGTGCAATACCTATTTGTATTGAAACCTTAACAACAATCCCATCAGTTAAGAAGACCAGCTTTGGGTCAGGCAATCCTTCTCTCGTTGTGTGACATCTGCTCACTCCTCTCTCTGTACTTCACCTCATTTGTAGATGCTAGGGATCATATCTACCCTCTAATTCAGGGGCAAAAAGTAAGTACTTGCACTATAAATATATATATAGTGTTTGTCAGGGTATCCACCAGGCAGTTCATTTTAAAATCTTCCTAGAATCTACAATCTGTAGGAAAACTAACAAATATATTTGTCTCACATATTACAACACTTTTTACAATAAAACAGTAAGTGACTAGGAGCTTCAGCCCTATAGATTTTGACAGTCATGGCCATATGATTATGACCTTTGACAAGCCAGTGAGTTATGAAATAACTGTGGCTGGCTTCCATTTACAAATGAGGAGAGTGGGGTGTGGGAATTCCTTTCACAGACTGCCTTAGCATCTCAGAAGCACTGGCTGATCTACGTGGATCCATAGCTTGTTTACCACAATAATAGCTGAAATGAGATGGACAACATGACTGATTTGCTCTAGTGATGCATATTCATAACCTAATTATGTGTATGTATCAAAGTGGTCATGATAAATGTATGCCTCATTTATTCTGTCTCTTTACTGTGTATCCTGGTAAGCAACGAAGGGCAAGCATTATGGTAAAGGATCTGGACTCCACTTCTGACTCTTCTCCTTAGTTGAGACTATAGAACAGTGCCCGTGGGTGTCTTGCTTTCATGTACACCATTGGGATCATGGTATATACACAGGGCTATTTTAAGGAGCATATGAAACATGGAAGTTCAGACACTCAGTAAGCCATGAT